CGGGAATAAACAGAAATCTGTATAAAAATTGTCATTGTCCGCGTACTACGCATTCTGTTTATATCTATTGATGCCACGCATTGCACCGTTACGCCGTCACGGTAAGAAGACCAAACCACCGGAACCGTACGCATCACATCGGGAGAACGCCCTCTTCTTTATGCTCTTCTTATACTCGTGTTCGCATAAACTGTAAGTGCTAACATAACGCGACATTGTTAAGCTGTCGGCAAATACGGATTCGTGAAAAAATTGATTAGTCTCTTCGTGATAATTTATCTCGAGACACCGAATTTTCTATCGAGATTTTCATCAAGATTATTTTACGTTGTACGTCGCGCCAATATTTGTTCCCAGAACAATTTCTAATTATCCCGTGAATTATTCGAATGACCCATTATATTTATCTGCCTTCCATTCAGCATATCTTTGCCGGAAGAAACGTCGTTCATTATTCCAAGTTTCGTTCTATCTTTTGTCATAGTAGCTCTCGCTAGATGAGAACAATAGTCCGGACGACTGAACCGCAACCAAAAGTTTCTCCTATCGATCTCCCGAGCGCATGAAAAAAGTTGCACGATAGCACATCCATTGGATCGAGAAAGTCTATCGACAAGTTCGTTCTTTCGATTTTCTTACGACGAACAACTCCTGACGCCAAAGGGTTTCGCAACTATTTAAGTGCGTCTTGTCAATCAGCAAGTATTTTTCCGAAATAGGAAAATTTATGCCAAGTGAAAACACGTGCCGTTCTAATCATTTGTAAGGAAACTTGATGTCACGATTACACAGTGACGTAAATAATTTTATCTAATTTTAAAGAAATTCTGTCAACTTGGGAAAATTTAGTGCTAACTGTATTACATTTTTTGACATCGATGTAAACAGTGACTTTTTCTTCACTTACACTGGATATACTGTTTATTATTTTTATATGTTACTTCTTTTCTGGCATAGACTTAATGACTGTGTTAGGATCTGTTATCATAATGATTACTATAAACATTTACTTCAGCTTGACAGTAATTTCGAAACAGCCGGAGCAAACGACAGAAAATGGAAAGTCGCCACGGTGGCAATTTACTTTCAAACAATTATTTTATCAGTGGCTATGTGTCCGAGTCATACGAAAGATTTACATGTGTTCACGCGTCACTCTGTTACGCTTTTCTACGTATGCCTGCTGCCACATAAAGTGAATTTCAATTCTCGTTGATGATCTTCTTTTTACTTTAAAAAATTTACTAAAAATGCTTTAGCATCATAATTCGTAAATTGGCACTTTGCAATTCCTTTGGATACTGACAGTTCTTATTTCGTGAAAATAAAATTCACTGCTGTATCAATAGAAAATTAGTTAGTTAATAGCAAGTTAATAATTTTTTATTTTTATAGTTAATCCGAGAGTAGAGTTGTCTGAGACACCCCAACTCAATGCTTTTCGAATGGAGAGCAAAATATCGCGACCGTTCCCGGGTTATTATTAAAGGATATAAGTCGGATGGTTGGCACTATCTATAGGTCATTGATGTATGATGTCCCTTGTAGGACGTAATGTCATTTTCGCCAGTGGCATCGTTTTAAACGAGAAGCCTTTACGTTCGTGACTTGGAGGCTTACGATTAGAGTCTCAGAATGCATAATGACAAAAGTATTGTCCAGAGTTTTGGCACGCTCGATTCTAATAAACCGTGACATTACCTTCGCAACTGGAACTTTAAGCCGATTTCCCATGAGGCTTCTTCGCTCTAATTCCCCGCGCGAGCACATGAATAGATCTTCTTTAGATCGATTATTGGTTCTAGCTGTAAACCAAAAAATCCGTTCTTCGATTCTATTTGACGATAACTTCCAATCGGATACGGTAAAATTTTACCAGAACTCGCACGGAAAGAGATTTGCAATTGATTATCAATCTTTGATACCTTTAATCTAAGATTTCCATTAACCAATTTATCGACTGGAAGATCGTTTTCATGGAAACCATACCATTCTGATTGCACTCGCCTACTATCTGTAGCAGAATCTTTATGCCAGAAGACTGTTTGCCACTTAACGATCAGAGAAATCGATCGATCGGTTCGGCAATTAAACATTCGCAAGAAAAATGACTTTCATTGAAACTAATGTAATTTCTAATGTTTTCCATTTCTCAACGTTATTATTCAACAGATCTTTCGTTGACCTTCGAAGGCTCTTGAATAAGTACCGATCATATGATCTATCAAGCGATTCAATTTTTCGATTTCACTTGAACGAACGCTATATTTCGGTCGTTTGATTTTTTCTCTATACGTCTCCCTTTATCGTTAACCTGAAAACTGGGACTCGGATAAAAGATTCTCCGCTTAACCGCTTCACTCGACTAGAAAATTACTTCCCATCGCAAGACCTAATCTATTCTTATGATACAATAAAATACGTTGAACACTGTCATTTCATAGATAATACACCTAGGTTCGATCAGTCTCGTTCCCGATCACTCGTTCCAATTATACTGTTATTTAGCGAGGTTAGGTTTTTTTTTTTAAACATATTCAACCGTGATGGGATATCATCTGAAACCTGGATCTCCAGTGTTGGACGACTTTTATGATTTAAAGAGCCATTATGCTTAATCATCATAAATAAAAATGTTAATTATTTTTTGCATGCATAAATCATTATTTATATAATTTTCATTTAATTGGATTGAAAGATTTATCATATTTCTCTTTCTTTCATAAGACAAGATAATTCAATACAATCTAAGCTTAGATTAACGCTCTTTCGTATGAATCTATTTCAATTAGTTTTATCGCGCTATTAAAATGTGGTTAGTGCCATTCGATATGTCGTTTTTATATACATAGTTAGCCACTTTAAATAACGCATAGTTTGATCACGTATTTGAGCAATTCAATTCATACACGTCACGGAATTAAAAAATGGTAATGTATTCTGTTTTATCGGCATTGGCATATGAATACATGCCAATGCTTATACGTAAAAATGAATCAACTTATGTATGAGATAAACCTTTCGCGTCTTATCAAATTAAATTTTTATGTTTAAAGGGACACGTCAATTTATAGTTGTGCGGACCAAGGGACTCGGTAAAATCTCATTCAAAGTACACTGTAAGAAACTTATACAGAATACTCGCATTTGACACGCAACAATAATTTCATAAGCAGTACATCCTAATTACTGGAACTGATAATCGTAGCATACAAGTATAAATGTCTAACTCAATCCCTGATCTCGATACGTCGTGCAAAACCACGAGTGGCTTCTGTACTTCTAAGGATTCCGTCAGTGGCGTAGAATGTTAGAAACTTCGAATTTAAAATAATAAGATGCATTAAATTTCGAGTAACGTAAAATCAATTTATTTGAGATGCTAACTTTACAGTATATTATAATAGTAGAATTAAAAGTTAAAATACCAATGAAAAACAGTAGCATAGAAAGTATTCTATATGCAGAGAAGTTTAAGTTTCAAAAAAGAGATATTGTTAATTTTTTGCATGTTATGCTTGTATTGTACATATTCATTAATATATTTTTTTTTTTAATTTAATAAGAGGAAATACAGTAATACAATATTATAATACGTGTAAACTTAATTATTTATATCTTGATTATATAACTTCTTTCCGTTGTTACAAAATTTTGTACGAATTGGGTAATTTTTTAAATACTGAACAATTTATTTTCCTACCTTGACTACCCCACCCAGAATAATACACGTAATAAATGAAAGAAACTTAATGAAGAAATACTCTGGGCGTTTGAGAGTATAAGTCGCGAATAATTTGTGATACTTGGCAGCGGCATTATTGGACACTTGAAAACAGTCACGAACACCTCTAAGACGAGCCACTGCGCCGGCCTTATACACTAATTCCATTAACGGTTAAGAGATATCTGGTTAGTAAATGCACGAACCAGTCCGATTTCACAGCTGGTCTAGTGAACAGTGTCCATAGTTGTTTGCAATGAGAGTTTAGTCTAAGAAGAGTCTTTCACAAGTAATATAAACACCAGTTTTAGACAATATGGGCGATATTATTGGTTTGTAAAACGTTATAAATAAAAGCCGAAATTTATTGGGATAAGTTACTATCGGGATAAATTATTTTTATGTAAAATACTGTCAATAATCGATCTTAAAATTCATATGTATTCGTATTTCATAAACTTTGTGATTTTTTGGAAATCATTTCTCTATTACATATTAATTATTGTAGGCAAATTGCGAAATTACTAGTATTTGATTAAAAATATAAGATCCGTTTGTTCAAATTCATTGTTTATGTATAACGTTTTATACAAAAACAAGTCTGTAATGAATATCAAGTTTCTGTTTTCTCCCAATTCTAAAATATCATTAACTTTTGTAATTCGAGCACCTGAGGAATTAATTGTGGCGGCAAATTTTCGAATTGTAGTCAACCACAACTTTCTATGAAACTGGATCTGTAAACCACAAAGTCTGTATCTCAATCTAGTTCTGGTCAGCTTAGTACGAATGGATAAGAAAAGAACCGTATTGATCGAAGTATACATAAGTCTTCTCACAGTGTCCAGGCTTTATTTTTTATTAAGTCCAAGTTTACGATTTCTATTTAGCACTTATCTCAAATTTAATTTATTTTTAAAAATGTCATTGGGCAATGGTAAAAAAGTGTCGAACAAAATCAAAGTTCTTTACTATTTGTCAAGAAATCACAAAAAAGGTTGTATGATTGCAAAATATATAAACGAATTTGATAAAAATTCATTTTTGTTATACAATTGAAATTTACGTAATTGTTCGAAAGATATGACTCGACGAACACAGAAGTAAACGCTAAGATAATAAAAAGAAAAATAGCGTAATCATTTTTACAATGGAGAGTCCAAAAAACTTTCTTTTTACATTTTTATTCTTTAGGAAATACAATATACTAAGAAAAAGAAATTGTTTGTAACTGGCGAAAGTTAATTCAATTTCCATTTTCAATTACTTTTTGCAGAAATGACTGGCGGCGGGACTAACATGGCTTACCACGGTCTGAGTCAACACGTAAATTTCGACGTGATTCCAGATCCGGATGATCGTTTTAGTTTAGAAGAATTAATTGGCGAAGGGACTTACGGAGAAGTTTATTCAGCGCGCGATAAGCAAAGCGGAAATCGAGTTGCCATTAAAATTTTGGAAAACGTTGCCGACAACATCGAGGAAATCGAAGAGGAATTTCTCGTTCTCCGTGATCTCAGTTTACATCCCAATATTCCATTGTTTCATGGTTTGTTCTTGAAAAGAGCCAAACCCAATCAAGAGGAGGACCAATTGTGGTTTGTCATGGAGGTAAGAAAATGTTTCTCTCACTTTCATGCTGGACCAGTTGACTTTGTCAAACGAATAATTGTTGTGGTTTTCATTGGACGGTAATTGAAAATAAAATTTAATGGGTTTAGGCCGTGTTTAGTAGTCCATCAAATCAGTCTTATCAAAACGTACTGAACGAGTTTAGGAAGCATTTCAGTGTTTGCGTTTTACGCTTCTTGTTTATCATCAGCGTTATTCGGATGAATATATATTTTTTCCTTAAACAATCCAGTACTTTTCTTCGTGCTTTATTAAGTAATATAAAAGTAAAACAAAAATCTCACGTGTCTCAACTTATTTCATGGTATCCCGTGTATCGTTACAGTATGTACACTCTTTCGAATGTAATAAATAAACTTCACGGTTAATCAACATTTCTATAATTTAATTATAATTATAATTTGTAAATTTATAATTTTGCAATATAGTATTTCTATATGTATCAAACGTACATTTGCAATAGTTTTTGTTTACTGATACAATGTGTAATATATAAGCACATTTCGATTATAATTTTTAACTTAATTAATTGCAGCTTTGCACTGGCGGTTCCGTCACAGATTTAGTACAAGGATTAAAAAAGAAAGGCAAACGTTTAACCGATGATCAGATCGCATACATAATCAGGGAAACTTGTGAAGCTTTGATATACTTGCACAGAAACCATTGCATGCATCGTGACGTCAAGGGACACAATATTTTATTAACAGAAGATGCACACTTGAAACTAGTTGATTTCGGTGTCTCCTCACATCTGGCAGCCACATTGGCCAGACGAAACACTTCCGTCGGTACACCATATTGGATGGCACCTGAGGTAACTAATCGCTGTCGCCATCACTATCCCTACTTCTAACGATTCATTTTTTAAACTCATTCCTAATATTTACAACAATAAGAAAGTACCAAATGAACATTTCCTTTTTTCATTGAAATGCATAGACGAATCATTAAAATCATTTCGTCAATTCTCCTGAAGCATTTGGACTTTGTTAACACCTACTAATCACATGATTTCTTGACATCCAACAATTTAAACAATATTGCGCATAACGTTCGGTAGACCAAAAAGTGTTGTGTAATTAAATTTATTGATATCGCCAGGTAATAGCTTGCGAACAGCAATTAGATTCCTCATACGATTCTCGCTGTGATATTTGGTCCGTTGGAATCACCGCCATCGAATTGGCTGAAGGAGATCCACCACTATCGGAATTGCATCCGATGCGCGCTCTCTTTCAAATTCCCCGAAATCCACCGCCAGCCTTAAAAAATCCGGATATATACTCCCCGGAATTGTCGGACTTTATAGCGGAATGTTTGGTGAAGGACATGGAGCACAGACCATTTGCAAGCGAATTGCGCGAGCATCCGTTACTTACGAACGTTGAGCCAATAGTCGAAAAAATACGGGAGGAATTAAAAGAGGAAATTCGTAAGCAAAGATCAGATGGGAGGGTTCACAGACAACCGGAAGTTACTACCAAGCACGGAAAACTTAAAACTGATCGTAAGACTCGACCCGAGAGGATGTACATGGATGATCTCGCTGCGCTTGATTTATTGTCAGAGGAAGCCATTGTGGAGCAACTCCAGAACAGATACGAGCAAACGCAGATTTACACGTACATTGGTGATATACTTGTTGCAGTTAATCCATTTGCAAATCTGGGACTCTATACAGGAATCGTGAGTAATATTCTCTTATTTTATTCACACACTGGAATTGGGTGTTATTTATAACTTGGTTTCTATGTGGAATAAGATCTGAAAGTTCGTATAAAGTTTATAGCATGAGGGACAAAATGTATTCGGTAACGTATGAAGATTTGAGATGCAATGCTGCGTATTTTTTATTGAGATATCACGTGTAACATTATTCAGGCAGTTTGATATTGTTTATGCAATAGAGGAACTGTCAGACGTCGGTTTTAACTGTTGGGACTACATTTATGTTAAATGCCTCGCAGTCTGACGCCGCGTTTGGAAAACAAAGAGGGTCTACCAAACGAATGAATAGTACATAAGCATGTAAATGTATTTTCTTGGTAAAGACATTGACCGTATGAAGAATTTCTTTATTCTGAAACTGTATTATCTTACTAAACTATTTTGGTGGGTCATTATAATGGCATTGCAAAACGAATTGATGTTCTTTCAGAGTCGATAAAGTCAATATTCAATAATGATATTTTGTACTATGCAAATAGATGTTACAAGAATTAACGAAAGAACTCCTTGAAGATGAAGAAATTGAATGACGTAAAGGTTCATTCAACCGTAATAGTGTTTCTCTAGAAAAAGAAAAAGTACTGGATAATGCAGCAATGTCTCGAAAATAAGTAAATATATTAATATGGCTGATGTGATAAATTGCTTGCAACAAAAAATGATTGTACGACATAGGTTGTTCCGAGTTTCAATTAATTTTCATTAATAGTGTTTAAACATGATTATTGTTGTATACGAATTTGAAAAATGATATGCTCTCGATATTAAAAAAATTTTTTTTTTCAGGAACAAAGACGCTACAAAGGTCAAGCGAGATCGGATAATCCACCACACATATTTGCAGTAGCTGATGCAGCTTATCAGGCGTTACTTCATCAGAGGCAAAATCAAGCAATTGTGATAAGCGGCGAATCCGGCGCAGGGAAAACTGAAAGTGCGAATTTACTTTTGAAGCAGTTGGTATATTTAAGTAAAGCTCCGAACCGTAATCTTGAAGAAAGAATTCTTCAAATAAACCCAATAATGGAAGCTTTTGGTAATGCCACTACCGGAATCAATGCGAATTCCTCGAGATTTGGAAAGTACCTGGACCTAACTATGACCAAAGGTGGAAAGGTCACAGGTGCCAGAATTGCCGTTTACCTGCTCGAACAGTCACGCGTGGTTGCTCAAGCTGAGTAAGTACAAAAAAATATTTAAAAAATTTTGTTTCTCATCTTCCTTCGTTCGCTATACAAATAATGATTCGGGGATAACATAATTACTATTACACTACGTTTTTAAAATTAATTTTATTTGCAGGGGGGAGAGAAATTTTCATATTTTCTATTATATGTATGATGGACTCGAAGCGGACAACCGACTTCAAGAATTTCACTTGGACAGCACGTTGAGAAAACGTCATCGATTTTTGGCCGATCATAGCCACACTTCTCAGACACACATAGATAAATTTCAACAATTGAAAATTGGGTTTAAAGTTTTGGGATTCCAAGACGGAGAAGTTGATACAGTTTATAGTGTCTTAGCTGCCATACTTCATCTTGGCGATATCGAATTTGGCGAAGTGGTCACTGAAGATAATACAGATAACAAAAGCCGTGTGATCGACATGGCTCCACTTCACAGAGGTATGTCTTGCAACGTTTTTGACCCAACTGGAAGTTAATGAAACAAAAATCAAATTTCGATACTTATATCTTGAAAATTTTTAAAAATATTTCCTTTTAAATATATTTTAATCAAAATATGATCACTTTTCGCGTTTAATTTAAATATTTCTTTTATATTCTATTAAAACAAATTTATGGTACTTCTCTAGTATCCAAGTTATTAGGAATCGAAACCAACGATCTTCTCGAAGCGCTGACGTCGAATTCAGTGGTAACTAGAGGAGAAACTATAACAAGAAATAATACTGTGACCGAAGCCTGTGCAGCAAGAGATGCCATGGCTAAAGGACTTTATGGAAGATTATTCGATTGGATGGTCAATCAGATCAATTGTTTGCTAAGCTTTAATCGGTCACCGAACTACGAACCATTGGCCATTGGTCTTCTCGATATCTTTGGCTTTGAAAACTTTCCAAGAAACTCATTCGAGCAGTTGTGCATTAATATTGCTAATGAACAGATTCAGTATTACTTTAATCAGCACATTTTTACTTGGGAACAACAAGAATACATGGCAGAAGGCATTCCTGTAGATTTAGTCGAATTTTCGGACAACAGACCAGTCCTAGACATGTTATTAAGCAAACCAATGGGATTACTGGCTTTACTGGATGAAGAAAGTCGTTTTCCTAGAGCCACTGATAGATCTCTTATCGGTAATAACATTATTTTAATAATGCGTAATAATAATGATCTTCAGTACTGTATGTAAATGATAGATGATAATGCCTTTTTTTCTCGTTACAGAGAAATTTCATAGTAACATAAAGTCGAAATTTTATGTTCGTCCAAAATCTGATGCAATCTGTTTTGCAATCCATCACTTTGCTGGTCGTGTGGTGTATCAAGCAGATGGCTTTTTAGAAAAGAATAGAAACTTCCTGCCACCGGAAGTAATTCAATTGGCACGTCAATCGCAGTTTGACATGGTTCGATTCCTATTTCAGTGCCCAATTACGAAAACGGGTAATTTGTACTCAGCCGTCCATGACACGGGTTCCAGAAAAATATCACAATGTAATCAAAATACAAAGGTGAGCTGGAAAATCAAATTCTTAATGCTCTAAATGCTGTATACTCATAATGATTTATTTTTTAAAACATGTACAACTTTATAAATTACAATAGGACTTATAGATTTTGTTATTGAAATTCATATGGTTTTTTACATATTATGCAACCTTATTATTATTATTATATATATATAAGTTAAAAATACCATATCTTCATCAACTATCCTAAGTATATTTATTTCTTTATTAACAAATAAGAATTCTAATTTTATTGTCAATTTTCAAAATCTTCAGGAACGTTACTCAAGTCGTGGTTTGGCTTCTCAATCGAGAGCTCAGCAAACTGTAGCAACATATTTCCGTTATTCATTGATGGATCTTTTGCAAAAAATGGTATCAGGCTCACCGCAGTTTGTTAGATGCATCAAACCCAATGACTCACGCAGCCCAAGATTCTTTGACAAGGACAAAGTTATAAAACAATTAAGATACACTGGAGTATTAGAGACAATAAGGATCAGACAAAATGGATTTTCTCATCGAATACCATTCAATGAGTTTCTTAAAAGGTTTGTATATTTCGCTTATACAAATTATTATTAATTATATCAAAAAAGGATTCGAGTAACTGTAGTACTCATATTCATCCAGCATTCTTTATGATTGGATGAATCACATACGAATTTTGATCTACTTTACTCTCGATAATAAGAAGGCTTTATTACATTTTTTTACACCAATAATGCTTTCTTGTAGTGCAAATCTTATCAAGAATCCTTTTCAATTCATACACCGATTAAATTATATTGTCTTAAAGTATATTATAAATTTTATTTTTATGACTTTCGCGGTCATTGTTCATATGGATATAAGTAGTTTCCGGATTGCGGCCGTGTCTGGAAATTTTTAATAACTTTTAAGCGAATTGTTTCTGTATTGTAAATATCTATAATTTTAAATTTATTCGCGATCCTTAGGTATTGTTTCCTTGCTTTTGGCTACGACGAACGCGTGGTCGCGAGTCGCGACAATTGTCGTTTGTTGTTGGTTCGACTAAAAATGGACGGATGGGCCTTAGGAAAGACCAAAGTCTTCCTAAAGTATTACCACGTCGAGTTCTTATCCAAGATGTACGAAGAGCAGTTGAAAAAGATCATTATGGTACAAGCCTGTGTGAGACGATGGCTGGCTAGAATTAGATACAAGAAACAAAAATGGCAATTTGCCATGTCTGTGGTCACATTGCAACGTCATATTCGTGGATGGCTCTCTAGGAAACACCAGGAGGAGGAAGCTAAAAGGAAACGTATAGAAGAAGAAGAAAAAGCCCTTGAAGTGGCACGAGGTAAAATTGTACTATTTAAAAAATATAGAAACTTTCATTTATCAGAAACGTGGTTTGGTAGTAACATGTGTAAATGACACATGAATCGCAGATAAGACAAGTCATCTTATACGTTTTGTTTATTTCGAGTTGACTACTTTCAGAAATATAATTCGTGGAAAAATGTACAAATAAAAAAATTCTAGAGTAGTTTTATTAATCTTCTGGAAATATAATATTCACTATATTTTCGTATCGTTTGCTATTTTTTATTATTACTATATACTTGTCAGTTATGATCGGATTACAGAAAACTTTTTTTATTTTAGAAAATCTAAAACGCAATGAGATGAATTGGTTTAAAGCCAAAATTTCACGAAATGCATCTCACGACTCTGTTGAACCAAAGGAAAGCAGGGAACCAAAACACGGAAAAGAAAATCTTAACAAGAACGACGCGGCTGTAATTATTCAAAGTCGTAAGTGTTTTTGTCTAAACATCAAGTTTTCGTATTGCTGTATATATAATAATACTATTATGGTACTTGTTGCAGACTTTAGAGGGTACACTATTCGTAAACGTTTCGGATATGAGCTTGAGGAACGCTTTAAAAGAATCCTTAATAATTACGATAACAAACAAGATGGTCTGAAGGCGTTGCTTCGTGAAGGACTACGAAATGAGGATGCAGCCTTTATAGTTCAACGGTGGTACAAAAAAGAAGAGAAAGTCAAGAAAAGGCCTTTGCAAAAGGATCGTATACATCCGAAATTAAGACAAGCTGATCTTATTCAATTTTCACAGAACGTGAGTTGACATATTTTACTAAATTATAGCAAATTACAAAACCTATAAAAATTTAAGTAGTTTTACCCAATGTTATACAGGGTCTCCCTAAATGGCCTTACCCTAAATATAGCGATATGCCGGAGAAATCTCAGATCACAAAAATGACATCCATTTTATTTAAAAGCGTTTAGTTTTTCCATTACGAAACATCACTGTATACCGTTGATAAGGCAATTTAGGAACACCGTATATAATCGCACTATTGTCATAAGACATATTGTTTCTTCAAGCATTTCATGTTCGAACGTACGGCTATGTAAAAATGGTGAATTTCGTGAAAACATCGTTGAATATTTATAACATCGTTTATTAGGTTCATATGAAAAATCAAGAGGTTCACAAAAATCTTCGCCGTAATAAACCTGGTGTTCGATTGAACGACGTAGAAGAACCTCCACCGGATTATTCAAGACCCGAAGGGTTCAACATGGTTCAAACAATTCTTCAGTATCGGAATGGAAATCAACAGGAAGTTGATGAGACTGCCAAGTTCTACAGAGATTTGAAGGAGGAAATGAGCAGGTAAATATCAATGTACACTATTACCTTTCTCTTTGGATTATCTGTGAAAAAAGGGGGAAATTTGAAGACTCACTTTTCACATCCTTTTGACGCTCACATCGCAAGTGGTTCGGAATTCGAAGAAGACGAAGTTGGCTGGGACTTACCGTTGATACAGCTAGAAAATGACCTTCACCCATCTTCGAGGTACCGTCTTTCTCGTAAAGACGTAACGAACCCCGTAGAGCCCATATATGTTGATATACTCGCTTCCCATTGTGTATTATAATGAGCAGAATTCTCTTAAATGTTAAATATTGTACTTTTCAATAGTGGTACATTCTTGTATTATCATTCAAAGAACAAAGATAGATCACAATCCTAGAAAGGACCAAAATCATTTTCCAAATTTTATACATGGGAAAGTAAATTTGCAACTGACATTATATGCAGTAAAATATACCTATTATTAACAAATATATATTATCAGATCAGGAGATTGTAGGCTTTCGCGGCCAATATTATCATTAATACTCATAAATTCCGGATGAAAGCCATGAGTATTATTATCAGATCATATAGCAATAATATCATATAGCAACCATAATAAATAATCCTTATATGTATTCATTCAAAATATTTAGTATATTGTTGTATGCATCAAAGAACATGCAATATAGTCGCTTTTTATTTTTCATTAACGAAAATTCAAATACCATGTAGTAGTAAATACTGATCATTGAATAAAATATCCTGAGCGTTGAATTACGCTTTCAATGTAACTTTTAATCAGATACAGAATTATGAAAGTAACTGTTACTTTTATAACAAACAATTTATGTCAATATTACAGATCTCATTGAGTAAACTTACTGTATGAGTATAGCACTATATCAAGTATACTAATAGGGCTTAACACATTTTCATACCTCATAGTGGCTACTGTGATAGTATATTTCTAGAGGTTATTATAGTGTATGAAGACTATATCGTTTTCATTGAATTGATAATCTTAAAGTCAACTGATTATCCGAATAAAATGTAATTACCTTGTACGACTGCAGGAGCTGCACGAGTCAGGTTTTGGAAGTGAATGCAGAGAGGAGGGACCGACTTGCAGCCCAAGGAGACTTTGTGGTCGCTCCGGAGCAACAGCTTTCAAATATTTGGCACAAAGCTCTAAGAAATCCGACAGAATCTCAAGAAAACGAATCTACGAGCAAATCCATAAAGTGAGTCAGATTCTCTGTTATACGTTCCGACGACTTTTTTGGCATGACTAATATTTCGTTTCACTTATCAGAGGTATCATGGCAAACTTTCAGGTAAACTTCAGAATTCACAATATATGCCAATCAATGTCACTTTGTTAATTAAAACTTTGTTGCGAAGATTGAGAGTAGATTTGCTAAACAGTACTTTTGTCTCGTTTTCGTAGCGTTCATGCTTTGACATAGTGAGATATTTATTAAATACAGAATAGTGATTTGTTACAAAATTGGAAACATCATGATAACGATTGAAGTAAAAATCTTCAGTCCGTAGTTCGTGAAAGTATTGCATTACTATACTATAACCTTATCAGCATTTTAGTTAAATTATTCATCAGCTTGAATAACCATTTATTTTCTTACATAATACTTCTAAACTTTTCATAAATTTAAGTGTATTTAAAAAATTTACTCATATATAATATTTCAGACTTACTCATTATACCAATACGTAAGAAAACAGTGCCCCTAGCGAGATCTTTTAAGTCGAGTATTAGTCAAGTGCACGTGTACCCGATGGATTTTTAAAGTCGATTTTCTTAAAAATGAAGCTTCGCAAACAAAAAATTTATTCTACAATCTCGAATTAATTTTTCAAGAGTAATCACCTCCTTTTCGGTTTTACCGTAATTCCCGCCCTACCCTGTATAGCTCACAAACATCATGTAAATTGACATCATACAAAGGATATATTTTTAGATGATCATCTTGACAAAGATATCTCTGTTTATAATTATTTTCTAGTAATGAGTATACCACTTGATGCCCCTTAATGATAACGTACAGATGTTATAGAATCACATATAATATAGAACTATGCACTTCCGTGGAATTTTCACAGCATAATTTTATTCTTTCTTCATGTTTCAAGTAGTATATTTCTACCTCGTATGCTACGTTGGCTCTTTACTAATTATAATTAACCATAAGTAGGACAAGTGTATTCGACGATGCCCCTGAACTTATATACTCCAAACATAACTATGTCATGTGATTCTTGAACTATACTTTATTCAAAAAACATTATCACACATAGATGTTATATTCGAAACAACAGTGCAAAGAGAAGTATTAGAAGCTAATACCTGTTTCTACACTATCTTAATACCTGATACCACCACTTATTTCTTACGAATCATATAGAATATTTTCTGAATGTATTATTCTTTAGAAAAATAATTAGAGCACAGTCTCGCCAACTTTTTTTCAATTGAAATACACATTACTAAAATTCTATGCACGACATGTTGAACCAGCTATTATATTACATATAACGACAGTAAAAAAGAAACGTAATAAATACATTAACCATATACATATTTTTTTTATAGTACAAGGACTAATGACATGCTTAACCACAACATGCGCGGAGTCCTCATCAACTATGCAGCCAGTAAGCAACCTACATACGAGTCTTCGCGTATCAACAATCCAAATGGCATACGTGCACGAGGAGGTTCAAGATACAACGGTACGAATCTAGTAAACGGTATAAACGGTCAGGTGAACAATGTAACGAGGCAACATAACAATAAAAAAAGCGGTTACGAGCAGCAGAACGACAATGCAGAAACTGGTGTCGATGGCCGGGGAATCGTTAAATCCAATCATACCGAATGTACGCAGAATGAAAAAGTTCACCGTGCTCAGGACAGAAATCGTTACGAACATCATAATGGTATTAGGTATCGCGCCTTTGGGCAAAGTGGTTATTTCGGTAACCACAAGGAACCTACGTATAATTCGTCAGACTTGAGATATCTTCTGAGACCAACGATTACGCAGAATCGACGAGAAAGTGTTAAAGTCGAATACGACATAGAGGATATCAACGGACCGTACAACTTTAGACAGCTGCTGAGACCAGCTGAGTATTTACCAACCGAGTCTTTGAGAAAACGTAAGGGTGGTATAGCCTGTAACGGTATTCAGCTGCCGAAGGATAAGCTTTCGGAAAAGCACGTCAAACGGAGAGCGCCTTTAGCACCGAATCTGAATCAGGTTCTAGTTAAGAAGTAGCGTGCTGTATCAATTTAGTTAATCATCTTTAATTGGCTATACGTTAAATGATTGTCTCTTTGATTGATGCTATTATTTTTTCTTCTTTTTTTTCGATGAAAAGTTACAAGAAGAAGTTTGTAGATTAATATACGTATAGTGGTATTTTAAGAAAGTGTCGTTCGTGCGATATGTCTTTAATTAATCGTAGAGATTTTTGTGATTTTAAGATATTTAATGATTTTTGTAATTCGATGAATTACGTCGTACATTAGTTGAATTGGGTTCACTGATTTTTTATCATTACCAAACATGAATATCCGTGACAACGTTCAATCCTTATAATTATTGTAATTCGCGTATTTTGAAAATAGCGTGCATTTAGAACTAGTCATTTTCAGCTTTACTTAATTCTTAGGCAATTTTTTCTTAATAGATTTAATACGATTTAGAAGAACGAGGTGAAATGTACGTCATGTGTGGGAACGTACAAAGTTGAAATTCTATTGATCCTCGTTCCTGGTAGTTTTATCGTTAACTTTCCGCGCATTGGGATAATTATTAATGTCTAAGGATTTTTATTTTTAAGAACTATTTAAGGATAAGACGAACTCAAATTATTGTTCGAACGCGTTATTCTGTTATTATTTTTAAGCCGCCTGTAATTACAAGCTTTTTTCCCAGTTGTGCAAGATGATACCAAATATACATATAATATATATTTACTGTTTATATGCTGTAGTTTGATTTATTGAAATTATTTTCTTCCTTGCCGTGTATATCTTCATTAATCCATCCAAGCATGCCGAATAGTCGAATAGGTGATCAACTGTGATTTTCTCTGTGTTCGAGAAAAGTTTTTTTGAACATTGATTAAGAGGGTATACGATTAAGCCTAAGCAATGTATGAATCTAATAGCACCTTTTAAAAATAAAATTAATGAATTAGTGCTACTTACGTGAAATTATTTTTTTTTTATAAAATATTGCACCTGTTCTTCGTGTTATCTTGTATTCTACGTTAGACTGATTTTGTGTTTGACTGATTGATAAATTGTTTAGCCTATATGTAAAAGATGTTTTGCCTATGAAAGTTATCCTAGAATACGAATAATTGATTTCTGTAGCAAATATAAGAACAATATTCTGATCTGATTGATTCACACTATACTGATTAAATCATATATAATTCAATCACGTAAAAAAAAATATAAGATATAATAGATTAGAAACTAAGAATGATTAGATTGCAATTCAATGACTCGACGAAGTTGCCGAAAGTCAGAGCAAAAATACATTGTTTTCTTTCCTTTCCTCTATTATTTTCTTATTTCTAAATAACAATTTAAGTTAGTAAAATATTTCCATCATCAAACCCAACGAATTTCTCATTGTTAACGAAAGCATAGAGCGAGGACAGTGCGAATGGAGTGTGAAAACTTCCACCGTTGACGTTTCGACTCTAGTAAAGATAATGTATCGGTTCCTCGAATTGGAAAAAACGTATACTTAATCGATAATTGCTCTCACAGATCATTTAACTCTCACTCCATACGGTCGTCAAAGTTGATTTATTGAAGTGTATTTCCTGACACGTGGTAGTTAACCAGGAAAGCAGCTGTGGTCCACATAACCACAATACTCCGCCTTCGTTTGTGACTAATAAGCGCCATTGATCGTGACATGATAATCATTCAGACAAAGTGGTTCTAATGGATCGTTAAAGACGTACAAGTGTATATGAATAAATCTTCATCTCACCGAAAGGCGCGGTTGCACCCGACATGATCGTTATTCGGCCCTGCTTAAAACGTAAAGATTCTAGAGGATAATTATATCGCGTTCGAACTCTCGAAATGGACACGTTCAAAAGGAATATTACGTGATTGCGTAACAGCAAGACTGAAATAAAATCAGAAACATGAACAGATCTCAATATGCCAGATCATGATGAAAATCTAAAACGTTCAAATACCTTCTCCTGGTTACTACCGAATTATTCCGTGGCGCTAGCGTCACTCTGACCTCCAAATCGTTCGGAAGTTTCGTTTCGTAGCCAGAAGGTGTCAGCAGTCGCAATCGTGCTGGTCACCGAGACGCCTAGACGCCGGGAGATGTTTCACAGCGTCGCCGCGTCGGCAACGAGGCGTTCCTATCGCTCGCAGTACGAAATTGACACAGTAGAGGGATCTTGGAGCTCTATTGGAAAGGGAGTGAGTAGTGGAAAGAGGGGGGCAACGAACCCTCTCGCGCGGCTCGACTCTACGGAGCGCGGAGTTGTGTTCGAATCATGGCGACACCCGACCCCGTAGACCCAGCCACCCTAGAGATTAAGACCCGTAGCATAGAACAGACACTACTCCCACTAGTAAAGCAGGTAAGACCGTTCGACACGAAGTACATCCTTATTCTCAACTCCCTGTCCCAGGTTATTCTAATGCGGCTTTGTCAAAAACGTACGTATCCCCTGCACCCGTAGCACTACACTCCGTTCCAAAACCAGTTGCCGAGAAACAGTCAGAGAGAAAGAGCTAAATCGAGAGAGTGAGAAAGTGCGGGACTGAGGGAGAAAAGATTTGGAGTAAAGTGAGCGAATGAGTGCGACAGTGAAAGATCAGTTGCGAGTGTAAGACAGGGAAACGAAGAGAGTGTCTGACTGTTGAGCATGTGGAAAAGCAGAGAGCACACACGACCTATTACCAATCCCAACGTCGGCACCTCAAAATAGCACGTTTTATAGTTTGGCTTATCAGTCCTCTCGCACAACGTTGAAAAATCCAACTGGCCGAAAGATCTGGTTTACCGTGGAAGAGTAATTTTGACAGATCGTGCCGGCATGTGCTTTTATCATCGAAATACGTGGCTACGTGCTTCGCGTACAGTCTTTTTATTCCTTTTAAGAAATCCTTCCGTCCCGTCAAGATAGTTTACGAACCGTCCAGTCGTATTTTATCGTATTCTTCTTTTCCAACTTTTCTTTTTATCTCCCGTTGTGAATCGCTTCTGTTGTGAACTAAAGGTGCCACATTATTTCTGGGTCTGTACTTACATGTTTGTCACGTGTGACATAGCACACGATCTGAAGCGTGTAAGTAACATATTATTTTCTTCAAATTCACAAAGCGTGTAACTTGTCCCTTTTTTACATTATCGTAAAAATTCCTATCAGCTTTTTATCGAAATATATTTTGTACTTTCGAGGATTACGTTTTTCAATGTCCATCCCGTGTTAATTTTTTAAGGTTTTGCTGATTATGCGTTATGTACATGTTAATTACTCGCGGTGAAGTTTAATGCTTACACTCGGATACGCAATTGCGTATTAATGCTCCTTACGAGACAGTTTTCTCGTCCTAAACTTTTTCTTGCTTCTCTTTTTCTTTTTTTTTTTCCACAACGTCGCCCGTTATCGCATCTCGACGCGCATCTTACCTTTACCGAGGGAAGCTTCACAAATTACCTGAGTGCGGGTCGAATAGGATAAAAAGTGTCACGGAAATCCCAGAAGATTACGGAGGATCGTGATAACACGTAGACGCTTGTTTTATTCGTATTTTCCGCACTTTCGCACTAATATCGATCACTGCACAGTAATTAGTATTTAATCAATCTAAAGAATACGACTTCTCGATATTTTGCATGAGCAACTTTTCTATCTACTAAGTATATTATGCAACAATTTACTTGACATTTAAGTGTACCACTAATACAAAATATTTTACCCGTCTAGTAAGGCTGTACAAATATTGTAAAACCAAAAAATAACAAATTGAAACTCGATTTTAGCAGTGCGCGAAGCAATTTGGTCATTTAAATGCATGCATAAAATCGAAGAAAATCCGATAACGTAGTAAAGCTTAGTGAATACAGAAATCGATAATCGATCAAATTAGAGTTCAACGAACTTTACAGAAAAATCAAACGGAAAATATCAAAGACTATAGGCAGGTATTATTACAATTATTTTTCAGAATAAATTGAGTATTTCTCTTGCGTACGAATACGCCTTACCAAGTGTGTACCTAATAAAAAAAAGGAAATATGAATAGGGTGTTTCATCCCCAACGACGAGATTTAAATAACGTTCCACCATCTCCCGACTATATTTGCCTTAAGAATTTTCCGCTTCCGCATTACATTCTTGGTAATAAAAAATGGAAGTAGTCAGAAATAAAGTAAAATCGAATTATTAAGTTATCATAGTAGGTTCTCATACAGGTTCAATACAGTATAGTGTCTAGAGTACACAGAAATGGGGGTAAGTAAGTAGGAGCGAATGGCGTTGAATACAGTGACCTTCCTGTCACGTTTATCGATGTATTTTCGTCTGTGGGTTAACCCTCTTTAGTTAGAAGGGTATATAGCAGGGGTTGGGTTCGTGCATGGCACGGAAGCGATCGTTACGAACTGCAGCCACTTGTTAGAGCTCCGTCTAGTCGTTTTGTACAGCTCTTCTTTTACAGACCATCCATGATCGAAGTTGATAATAAAAATAATATTCTTTTTATTATTTTGATAAGGAATATTCGAAATATTAATTTTTGTCAGTTCCACTCTGTTGTCTTATTCGCTTGGCAAATATATATATTCTTGGTCTCTGCCATATCGTAACAGCTCTTCAATAAATATTTATATGCATTTCCAATCGAATTCAATTTCTGAATGGGAGGATGCCGTATATTCATATAGTGGTTATATGAACAGAATGTGGAAGATCCATTACTGCAGGAGGCATTCCGTAACCTGTTCAGTTCCATCTGAGGTAGCCTGGGTAAGCCGAGACGTATTTCAAATCCAATTCGAAAATATTTAATTCATTTAAACCTCTGAATCTTCTATTTCTTTGTTGTTCAGATTTGCCGACATAAATTCAGTTTACCTCCAAATCATTTTTACTTTTTACCATTTAGATTTGTATCTAATCGAATGAACTGGAAATTAGATTTTTGAGGCTTAAATGAGTCCTAATTTCGGCTTTTATTGGAATCTCAAAGCTTAGAAACAGGACATAAGCGCAGTCCCGAGATTCAAATAAGTTCTATGTCACTTGGTCTTTCCTTATAGAAAAATTTGATATAAGTCTGGAAAACATCAATGCATTTTTGAGGTTTAAACGAGATTAATATTTCCAACTCTGAGAAAAGTAATAGGTCGGAGCATTATTTTACTGGTTACTACACTTTGGATAATTTATATATCGACTTAGGAGGGTCATATTTATGTTTCTGGAAGAATGGCTTTTCGATCTCATATACAGGATTATCCATGGCTAATGCACCAGCTGAAGTTAGATGCGATTGAACAATTCTGTTAATCGAGACAGACATCTTGTTAAACAAATGCAAGAACGTGAGAGTCATAATCTTAGCAATTTTATGCATAGAGTTAATACAGATAGAGCAGACAAGCCATAGGCTGCTCTGCAAGTGGAAGTGTCCGTTCGCTCATAATGAGAAAGAAAGAGATAGCTGAACCCCTTTAGCTATCCGTCTTTACACCCTGATTTGCATTTATCTCTCTCTTCGCCGCTGCCGCGTTGAGAGCTGGCTTGTCTGCTCTATCTGTATTAACTCTATGATTTTATGACGTTAACTCTCATTTCTTGAATGATGCCACCCTGCTCTGATTCATGAAATCATCCATTCACGGCCAATTTCAGCTAGTGCGTTTACCGTGAATAACCCTGTATACATGTATATTGTAATCAAAAATAATACTTTCAACAAAAGTTACGTGTCAGAAAAATGTTTGGTTCATATAGTATGATCTCACATAGGATTCAGAGATGCTATATAAAATTATGGAGTGTCAAAGTATATTTATTCGATGAGTTTTCTGATTTGCTAATACTCTTTACCAATTTAAATTGTTTGGTTCAGTGATAATTAAAGTCGGTTCATGAGTTAAATAGGCATTGAATAGAATCTCTTCTTGTAATTTTTCGTATGATAGAATAAGCTAGACTTTTAATTTTAATTAGTTTAATTTTAATTATTTATAAAAGAAAACTAAACTTTTGTATTATTGCTTCAAAATAACAAAACATAAGAATTAGAACTACTTAATTTCCAAAAACACTTTCCAAAAAACGCTTCGACAGGTGAATTTATTTATATTACATTTAAATATTTAAATTAAAAAAGTTTAATTAAAAAAATACTGTTCATCCCCTTGTTTTGAAAATAATACTTAGTTATTAATGGAAAAGACTGTAATCTAATCTACTATATTTTTTAATTAGGATGATGTAATAACCGCATCACTTGACGCCCATACATTTCGAATCATTAGAAAATACTTTTTAACCTTATTAAGGTAGCTACTGCGTTGCACACTAGTTAAATGAGGTTTAAATTTTTACAATGAGTTTAAAAAGTTAACTGTATTAATTGATAGTAATGGAGGGCGATTTGTATAATATCATAACACGTGTCCTACATGCAAACTTTCATAGAAGTACATTTTCGTCGAATTTTTTCAAAGAATAAATCATAATTTTGTAACCATTTTAATTCGCTACAGCTTATTCTGTTTTTTGAAAGTTGATCGTTCAAAAAATACAAACTATTGTTTATAAACAAACTGCTGTATTTTTTAGACTGTCAATAGTACAAACATTTTACATGGTGAATTCGTGAAGCAGCTTTCGATAAACCGAATGAACTATGGCGTATCAAAATCGGTACAAAATTACCTTAACAGCCCCATTTTATAGAACTATAAATATCACCTCGTAGTGTAAAATGTTTTTATAAGCTGAATTATACATTTACAACACAGAGTATTGAACAGTTCATTATTTACTTCGGTAAGGAAATTATCGGTGGCCCAGATTTAGTTAAATGCTATGCAGTGGTAGCATAAAGCAAACAACTGTATTTAAAAAGTCCACCCACTAGGAAACTTACGCTATTCGTTCTATATGTAAATATCGCAAAGGTTCAATTGCATACTTATTATGTATTTTCAACTTAGCAATAAGGATAAATGACACTAAACAACAATATATTTAAAATATATTATACTTCCAATATATTTATAGCAATCTGTACTTTATGAAAAAATGCTGAAAAATATTTGTTCACGTTGCAAGAGAACGGGTACGCCTACATGTATACTTTGACGTGATTTTTCGAATCACAGTCCCAAGGCGGCTCCGGTTACCGATACAGATAACGTTCTCGATTTCTGGTTCCCTTCGGGTCGCCACCCT